ACATAAAGACGACTTTCTACCTTTTGTATCAGGTACACGATAATCTGGGTCTTTTCACTGGACATAACGACGACTTTCTACTTTTTCTATCAGGTACATCAACGATATTCTGGGTCTTTTCACTGGACATAAAGACGACTTTCTACCTTTTGTATCAGGTACACGATAATCTGGGTCTTTTCACTGGAGATAAAGACGATTTTCTACCTTTTGTATCAGGTACACGATAATCTGGGTCTTTTGACTGGACATAAAGACGACTTTCTACCTTTTTTATTAGGTACACGATATTCTGGGTCTTTTCACTGGACATAACGACGACTTTCTACCTTTTGTATCAGTTACATCAACGATATTCTGGGTCTTTTCACTGGACATAACGACGACTTTCTACCTTTTGTATCAGGTACCTTTATGTCCAGTGAAAAGACCCAGAATATCGTACGACTTTCTACCTTTTTATTAGGTACACGATATTCTGGGTCTTTTCACTGGACATAAAGACGAGTTTTCATTCATTATACCTAAACTTATCACCCATCTAATAAATTTACTTCCCAACTTTGTAGTAATAAAGCTAATTTTTTAGACATCACTATTGACTTATCTACATTTACTAGCAGCCTATATTACAAACCCAGTGACAGCCATTCCTATTCACACTTTATTTATTTACATCCCTCTGAGCACAAACACGCTATTCCTACGTTTGAGACGTCTGTGCTCCGACGACGCCGACTTCAGACGTAAAGCGACATGACTCGTTGTTTTAGACACCAGAATTATCCCGATAACAGCACCGAAGAGGCTAAACTTGCCACAGTCAGTGTATCACAAGCTGATTGTCTCCACTCTAAGGACAAACCACATAGTGACAGAATTCCTTTAGCCTTTACACACCATTCTTTAACCAGACAGATTACCAGAATCGTCCAAAGCAACTTTACCTAACGAACAAGAGACAACACATCTAACGACATTTTGACCACCACCATCCTTAATTTCTTTCAAACGTGAGAGGAGTTTGAAAGACAGTCTAGTACATTCCAAATTACAGACTGAAGTGTTTTACTTGTACAAACTGACGGAACTCGTCCTTGTGGACGAACTATTTGTCTCAATGGGATTATATCACCGACCTTTGCATTTCACCTAAAAGACCATTTCACCTGTACATCAGAGGGCATTATTTATTGTACGGGATGTAAACAACTTTATATTGGGGGAAAATATATGCAGACAAGATGACAGATTTCGTGAACATCTCCGACTTGTACACAACGGAATTGACGACACGAGTGTACCCGTTTTATTACATTATCTGTCAACAAACAAACAGAGTCATCAGTACTGACTATGGTATACGTATGTAAGAGGGGTAATTAAAATAGTGATATAATTCACGTATACTGTATTGAACATTTTATTAATGTTTCCGTAATATCCGATTTAAATTGGAGTCTAAAGCAAGGTACTTTAAAGTGATCTAGCTTCAGTAGATTCTAAACCCCTAGAGTGGCTACAACGATAACAAACCAAAAGCTTTGCACAGTTTACTTTTATTATTTCATTTCTTCCATTTGATTTTCATACTTTGTTCACTGCGACCTCTGTGGGGAAATAAAGGAACATTGGAGGTATAGGATACTTACCCTCGGACGTAGGTCTTGCACACGCTTTGATCCTTGTCCCAGCCACAGTAAGGATCGCGAACACACTGAACACAGTTCGGATGACGACTTCGACACATTAGTAAACTAACCTGCCGTACTGCGGTGTCAGAGGCTACGTACATAGAGTTGTGCTGAACAAGATGATAAAAAATTATCTTTTACCTAGTGAAACCTAGGTATCTTTTACCTAGTGAAACCTAGGTATCTTTTACCTAGTGAAACCTAGGTATCTTTTACCTGGTAAAACCTAGGTATCTTTTATCTAGTGAAACCTAGGTATCTTTTACCTAGTGAAACCTAGGTATCTTTTGTTTAGTGAACCAAACTACTCCATTCATTTTAGTGCAACTGAAATAAATAAACGAAGCCATTGGTATATATATATATATATTATCTACTATATATTTTATTGAAAGATTGCTACAAGATGTCACTGGTGCGACTGGTGTATATATATATATATATATATATTTATTTTATCTACTATATATTTCATTGACAGATTGCTACAAGATGTCACTGGTGCGACTGGTATATAGTAGATAAAATATATATATATTTTATTGACAGATTGCTACAAGATGTCACTGGTGCGACCAAGAACATTTGTTCTAACAGTAAGTGATTTTAAATTTGTCTTTTACGTAAATTTCTAATACCGAATTCCGTTGCATTTAATTTCATGTTAGTTACAGTTTCGATCTGCCCCCAAGTGGCACGGCGGTATGTCTGCGGATTACAACGCTAGAATCCGGGATTCGATACCCGTGGTGGGCAGAGCACAGATAGCCCATTGTGTAACTTTGTGCTTAACTACAAACAAACAAAACAGTTTCGATCGTACCGATAATATGCGTGTTTCATCAACCTAGAAGCTTTGAGTAGGGGGCTTGAAACAACATCGTAACAGTAATAATGGCTGGAGACACCCC